TACGAGGTTCTAAGAGGTTGGTTTTTTGAAGTTTTGGAGCTGTTTCAAAGCCAAGGAGGGCTGTTGGGCCACCATTTGTGAAGGGGTCTTCAAGGGTAAGGAAACTAGGCCCCTTTATTCCCCAATCTTGCATTGTATTTTCTACCTATCTTTAAAATCATTTTTGAGCTTGGTGTTAATACAAAAAAGTTCTGTTTTTTAGCCCTCTTGTTGTTTAGTAAGAGTGGTATTTTGTTGTTTGGAGTGTTTGACCCTCTTTAGGCCTCCGAAAGGCCCCATTTTTTTGACCATTTTGAGTTGAGTTTCGAGACTTGGTGTTTGGGCCTCTTTCACCACGAAATCTTGAGGGATTTCAGTGGTGGAGATGGTGCCTTGAAGTCTCCAAAAGGGGAGGGGCCACCCCCTCTGCCTTGTTGTCCCTTGAAATGGACCCTTTTTTGGCTCTTGAGAGAGCATCATGTTAGATGTGTATCATATGTCATTTATTCTGTGTGTTGAGTTTTTCCATGCTATTACGCCATTGATTATAAACATACTGTGTTATGTGTGTTTTTGGGATACACCATGCCATGCAGTTAGCATAGGCCTTGAGCGCACTTGTAATTCAAATAGCTTAGATCATTTGTTATTGGCCTTAATATGCCTTAGGTTGTTAGCCTTCGTATCGAGCAATGTTTTGGATTAGTCTTGTGAAGCTTGTGCGTTTTATTTTGCCATGCTAGAGATCTATCAATAGTTGTTTTGGGTCGGAGTTTGGCAATGCCTTAGTATAGGGCTCCTTTGCGATTTGGCTTGGGCCTTAAGTGTAATGAATGATGTTAGCAATGCATTCTGTGCATTGATTTAGTGTTTGGGACTATCCACCATGTTATTTCAGACCTTATCAGCGCTGTATGTTTGCCTTGGATGATTTCCTTAATGCTTTGAAAGCTTGTGGTAGCAGTGTCCATGTTTTTGCCATTGTCATGCCTTTTAAATTTGAGCCACTTAGATGCCATCTAAGAGTCCGCAGTTGTGCATGGTTTAGGACCTGTCTTGAACCTATTTGTAAGTCTCTTAGCTTGTGAGGCTTGGTTAGCTTAGCCATGGTTCAAGCCCATTGATTTTTGCTATTCAAGCACTTAGGCCATTTGTTGCATGCTTAGTTGACTTGTTGCTTGGTTTGGTTACCATGTTTATACATGTTTTCAAGGCTGATAATGATGTCATTTATCCATGAATATTCCCTCCTAGTGTGCTTAGAAGTAGTCTGTTGGATGCTTAAGCATTAGGCCTTCAACATTGTGCATGTGTTGTATGTGTTTTGAGTCCCTTATTTTGGTCTTTTGGCCATTGTTTTAGGCCTATTTAGAGATGCCTAAATCATGTGTAAGTCCACCTTTCCATTCATATGCCATTGCCTTCATGTTTGCTTGTATGCTTGCATAAGTGTCTTGACATGCCATAATTGCATCCTTAAGCTTGTATGCCTAGGTTGCATTGCAATCTTGCATGCATTGCTATTCCTTGACTTGGTGAAGGGAATTGGGCTATGGTTTGTTTGTTTGGTTTGAATTCATTTGACATGAAAGTTGCACACTTGGTCCTTTGGGCCTCAATGCCTGGGAAATGCGTGATTGGTGGTCGAGAATCGAAGGACCGGGGGGACCCCACCCCATTTTGGGGGGGCCCCCTTTTTTTTTTGGGGGGGGGGGGAGTTACAAACATGATAGGGAGATGATTAGTGCATACATTGCTTAAAATTGTATTTGCCATTGCAAGTTCTGTCCTCTGTTGTGTAGTTTGCAGGTTCTGCAGGCATTTCTTGCCGACGGCAGTGTACATGCCACCGGCAGTGACATTTGCCAACGGCAAATGTTCTTCTGCCGATAGCTTTATTTGCGGTGACCCCGCATCACTGCGGTGGTAATTTGATTTCAGCCGGGTATGGTGAACCCCACCAATTACAGAGAGGCATCCCTTAGTTTTGGAGCCTCCAGGGAGCGAGCAGGGAAAACAAGAGCAGACTATGCATGGCGGTGCGATTACCGAGCAAGATCCGGAGCATGCGCTTTGCATTTGGCCCTCCCCCCCGAGGCGGTTTACTGTTTTCTTAGCTTAGTTAATTTGTTAATTAATTAGGCAATTTGGTAATAATTAATTTAAGGTGGCTTGGTTAGGTTAATTATTTATTTATTTATTTTGGTCCCTCCGGCGAGGGCAAATCTGTAATAAGCTGGGTGATTGGTGTGTATGTCTTCCAAATCCCCACTCTTTCTTCCCTTTATTTACCTGCTTTAATGGTAGATTTAGGGCATGGTTTAATTTAGCATACCTTTATGCTATGCATGCGTGCATCATTATCAGGTATTGGCATGTACCGGGCTCAGGTACATCATGCTAACTGCATTTGTACTTCAATTCCAAATTGAATACGTGCATTTCAATTGGTTGCATTTCACATGCCATGTGGTAGGTAGCCAGAGCCTATTCTAGTAACATGTTTGTATGGATGATTAGCACTTAACATGAACTTGGATCATGCATGCGCTTAACAAGTTCCTTTGTTTTGGCTTGGAGTACATGTTAAAGTAATCTACGCTTAGCATCATCGCATGCGTTTGTGAATGCTATCATGACAGTTTGCTTACCCATGGTGGCTAAGTGGCTTATATTGAGATAAACTGTTTGAATGCCTGTGGGTGGAGGTTGGATTGTTAGTTGGAAAAACTCGTTGGAAATCCGTATTTTAGCCTACTTGCGAGTAGCAATTCCAAAGCGCTTTTCAAAACAAAACGGATACGCAATTGCTTATTTCAAATTAGACAATCTAGTTCTATTTACGTTTGCTATCGCATAACATAGTAACGCTAGGCTAAATAATTGGGAATAGAAAACACATACGTTTTTTCAAAAAAGGATATCACGGTTAGCTAGAGGCCGATCTTTCGGATCGGGCGAGAGGGGTGCTCATAGCTGACCTTCCCCGTCGTACCCAACTCCCGAGCGAGACAACTTCGGTGATGACGGACATGTGGCCTTCGGCACCGAGTCAGGGTTTCAAATCTCCCCATAAAAAATATTTAGGTGGCGACTCTGTTATCTGGCAAATTAACCATGTTTTGTACTTCTTTTTCAAAAATCTGGTTTCTTCAAATTGATTGCCGGATTTGGACTCTTTCGTTCAAGATTAAGAACCGGACAACAAATCGAGTCCGAACTGTAGCCGAAGTCCCTCACGGGGAGTGTTTACAGTTTTTGGCGACTCTGTGGGATTTAGAGACTTGACTCGAACTCTTGATATCCTTACTTTTGATTTTGTTTGTGTCTCTTTGCATTTGCATGTGCATTGGTGCGCCTAGGAAACACAGTTGTTTGCCATCTGCCATCCTGAACGGTTTGCTGGAGGCTTGTCTTGTCAAGACATGACCATAAGGCTGACCGGTTATGGCTCTGACAAGTATGGGAACACAAACCCCGATTTTTACCGGGGGCACCTTTTCGGGACCATTCAACCTAGGTGGCAATTCGGATCCATTAGTGGACCATCCAAGTTAGACATGCTGCTTTACCCTGATGTTTAAGGTTGTTTGAAAACTGCTGGCGGTTGCATAGTGGAACCCTAGCTCCTGACAAAAATAGGACAGGGAGACCCTACCCAAACATAGGGTGTTTTGGTTCTCTTTACTTGCTATGTTGCTTTAGAATGGTATTTTCTACAGGGAAAAGTAATATACGTTTTGCAAGTTTGAGTATCAGATCTGAGGACACAGTATCAGTGTCAGTTATGGGAATTCAGTTATCTGCGAAGGTATCGGGTTTAGTTTTTTTCTGGGGACAGTGATTTACTCCAATTTAGTTTTGGGGCTCTTGGTTCGCAGGTTATGGAAGCCTTTGATTTGTTTTTGTCCATCATCCTTCTGGATGGGGCTTATGGAAAATTCATAGTCTACCTCCATTTGTTTTGTCTAGCAGTGTTTGTTTCTAGATTGGGGTGTACCGTATGCACCTCATAACTAAAAAATAAAATGACATAACTTTATACTTTCAGAGTCATAACTAAAAAAAAAAAAAAAAGAGAGGCTATAACCAAACAACACATGACGCATAACCAAAGATCTCATGAATTATAACTAAAATAAGGTCATAACTAAATAAGAAAATTGGTCATAACTAAAGAAGAAAATGAAATAACTTAGGGGTGCATAAGGTAGGAGGTGTGTATAGTAGAATTTCCCTAAAATGATACCTGAGCACCAAAATAAACAAGCTCTGCCAGGTCCTCAAATGTTAGATATGGCACAGGTTCTGCGAGTGCATATATGTTAGGATCACACGTCAAAACACCATCAACATCCTTCCACACCAGTAATGGATTGAAAAACATGTTCTTATTTGTCTAGAAACTTGTATGGAAGTCGTGCAATTACAAATTATAGAACCTGAATTAAATTTTCATACAACTAGAGCTCATAAGAATACACTGTTTCACACTATTCCATAGTATGTTATCTACAATGTTATCCCATATCCATGTATACATATGCAGATATATGAACAACTTTTGACATAAATGTATTTAGGGTAAGCATTGACCTGAATTTCTCGCAACCCCAGAGCTTTACCAATGGTTGTGGTTGTCAAATCACTACCACCCCTACTCAAGGAGAAAAGAAATGTTCCTACACCAAAAATAAATTAATTAATTAAAATCTATTATAGGTGAGGCAGTATTAAAATATTAAAAAAAAAATCTATTATAGGTTCAGTTGCACAACATTGATATACGACACTCCCTTCCCTTTACAATATCTCATTTGAACTCTTAAAAACTTTTATGCTCTATTACAAATAAAATAGTCATTTTATAAGAGGTTAATATACCATAAGTTTTTCAACAGCATTGGGTTGATGGTTTGATGGGTTGATGGGTTATCTCTCGGAAATATCTTCAAACACTTGACATGCAGAATTCTTGTTTGTTTCCTGTCACAAACAAGAGGGGAAATCCTAACAAAATAAAAAGATTAGACAAATGTTTCAATCCAATAAAAAGTGAAATGATTGAATCTACATACCATATGGAGAATTACTACAAACAAATCATAGACCACAGTAAATAAATAAACATTTAAGGTGCAAAACCCTTTGTAGTTGTAGGAAATATGTAGGAAAATGAAAGCCATTACATTGAAGTTCAATGAAGTAAATAAATAAACATTTAAGGTGCAAAACTACAAAGAAGAAGACATGAACTTCATAGATATTATAGATTGCATTACATAATGAAAAAAATGGAAAAACAAAAACATAAAATTGATTTAGACAAGGCTAGAGAACACTTGTATATTTCAAACCCATTTCAAAACTTGAATCCCATTTAGACTATTGAAACTCATATAAAAAAAAGACAAATCTTAGAGTTTCTGGATTCACATCCATAAGCATGGTGTCTGCTAGAGGAAATATTAATTCGATACATACATGAATATGCTACACGGACCAATGGCTTCATTCCCAATGCCAAATCTTAGGTGTATTAATTCATTACTTCTGAGAATACCTCCAAGTAATATAAGATTTGTTCACTTGAAATGTAGGAACAAAGCAAAACCCCAGCATCAAGTTTCAGCTCTGTCTGTGAACCTAGCATTCAAGCAAAAAAAAAAAAAAAAACCCAATTACAAGACAGCTAAAATAATCAATGCGAAATAAGATACAGAACCAAGAATCATTCTTTAATAAAACCCCTCTTCCCAAACCAAAAACAAAACCCTAATACTGGAAGTACCAAAAAACCAAATCAATAAATTGCATTGGCACCACCCATAATTGTAAGAAATGCCACATTAATCCCCTTCAGTCTGCTCATGAAGCATGAAAGCATAAACCCTAAAACCCATCAAACAAAGTAAGCTAACAAAAAATGTTGTAATTTGAACAACACAACATTGATCAATCGACACAATCAAATTACCAGAAACAAGAACAAAGAAAGATAAAAGGAATCTCAGTGAAAGCATCTAAGGTAGACAAATTGGGAGATCCAAAATCAAATCGAGACAAATCAGCAACAAACAAAACACTAGGAAAACCCAAAATTGCATCCCAAAACACACAGAGGATGAGAGAGAGAGAGAGAGAGAGACTCTGATATACCTTTTCTGAAGTAGACAACGCCATGGACCGTGTCGTCCAGAGATCGAGTGACAGAACACATTTCAGCCCTAAAAAAAAAAAAGAGAAGAGTAGAGAGAGAAAAGTTGGAAGCTTTAGGATTCGAAATGTCTGTCTCTCTCTCTGGTCGAACCTTTTGAGGTTGCTCGAGGAGGCTTCGTTGGATGGGAAGGGAAAAGAGAGAGAGAAAGCACGACTCCCCAGCCAACTGCCCCAATCCCATATCAGCATACAACAGGAGCCCACTCACCAGATTGGGATTGAGAAGAACATGAAGGAGAAGGGATTGAGAGATTCAGACCGCGAGAGAGAGAGAGAGAGAGAGAGAGAACATCTGTAAAGAGCTAGGGCAAATATAAGGAAAAGCAGAAAAATTAATAAAAGTTAAGTTTTTTATTTTACATTTGCCGACTAAAGGATTTAGTAGCCAAATCTATCCCTACGGCGACTAAAAGTATTTTTGGTTGCTGAAAATCAACTTTTGGCGACTAAAGTTTTAGTCGCCAAAGACAAAAATTAATTTTTTATTTTACATTTGCCGACTAAAAGTTTTAGTAGCCAAATCTATACCTACGGCGACTAAAAGTATTTTTGGTAGTTGAAAATCAACTTTTGGCGACTAAAAGACAAAAATTAATTTTTTATTTTACATTTGCCGATAAAGGGTTTTAGTAGCCAAATCTATACCTACGGCGACTAAAATTATTTTTTGTCACCAATTTCTGGCATTTTTGCCGACTAAATTTCTTTTAGTCGCCAATTGTGATATTTTTAGCTACTAAATTTTTTTTGGTCGCCAATAATGAACATTCCCCTATGAAAAAAAATTAGTAGCTAAAAAGTTGACTTTTGCCGACTAAAATTAATTTTGGTAGCCAATTCCCACACTTTTGGCGACTAAATTTATTTTGATAGTAAAAAATGATCGCCAAAAATGTGTTTTCTTGTAGTGAACCCTAAGAAAATATATTTATCCAGCCAATCTTTATTTGATTGGAAGTGAGATAAGAATAAAAAAAAAAAAAACTTTTATATTACAAGGGACAATCTATATTTTAAACAAACCTCAAGGGGTGTATTTGTAATTTATCATTTTAAATACACTTAATATAAATACAATTAAAAAGTAATATTTGTAAAAAAAATCTTTTAAAAATTCATTAAATACCAAAAGATATGAAAATTTAGTACATTTTTGTATTCTTATGTATTTACTGATTTTTTAAAATATATTTTTTTTATAAATATTTTACTTTTTAGTTACATTTAGGTTAGGTCTATCTAGAAAGTAAAAAAATTGCTTAAATTATTTAAAAAATTCATGAAAAAAAAAAAATCAATTTTCAAAAAATTAGAATCAAATAAGGTGATGTGTTTATATTTTCAAAAGTAAGGCTCCCAGATGGAATAAAATATAATGGGGTAAATTATATTTTGAATCTTGAATGGACGAAAATGTCATAGGCATATAATGAGATTATATATGTATAAGTGTGTATAAAATTTTATTTTTTCGTTTAAGTCATTAACAGTATACTTTAATTTACAAATTATAAAAATAAATAAATAAATAAATAAAAATTATGATATAAACTAGAGAGGGTTAATTAAGATTTGCTCAACTTCTATTAATATATGGAACCACTCCAGGAATGAATCTTTAACCCTTGCTTCTAAATTCTAGTTAATATTATAGAATCGATTTTTTTTTTTTGATGTAGTCCTTTTGGTCAGCAAAAATAATAATAATAATAATAATAATAATAATAATAACAAAGAAAGAAGTTATTCAAAATTTTAGATTTATGATTTAGATTTTATTTTATTATTATTTTTTTATTGCGGGGCCACTTCATGAATGAATATTGACTTTAAATTTTAAGGGTAAATTACACTGACATCCCTTAAGGTTTTGGCTTAATACATATACCCTCTCCACGTTTAATAAATTATACTGCACCCCCTGTAAGTGTTTGACGTGTAACCCAAGTAATAGTTAGCTTGTTTTTTTTTTAGTTGTTCTGTTTGTTTTCTTTTAGTTTTGATTTTGTTCTCTTCAAAACAAAACAAGATCTCTTTCATCGAAAGTATTAGAGACTATCTGCTAGCTCCATTTTTATAGCAATCCCGGCTTTCCTTTCCTTTGATTATTGTGTTCCGGACTCGGTTCTGTGGTTATGTTGTTGTCTCATTCTCATTTCCATCATTTACTCTTTGTATTTGAGTCTTGGGTTGTGTTGGGCAGATTTGTAACAGGTTGGTTGTGTTTAGAAACCAAAAGTTGATGCCCAGAATTTGGCCTACACGCTCGAGCGGGGCTTTTGACGCTCGAGCGGGCCCTTTGTTGCAGCTTCTACGCTCGAGCGGGCATTTTGATGCTCGAGCGTGATTTTTCATCTCCCAATATTTTCTCTGCAGGTCTTCGGACGCTCGAGCGGGAGTTTTGACGATTGAGCGTGACCCTTTGATTTTGTTGCTCCGCTCGAGCGGGGAGTTTGACGCTCGAGCGGGGACCATGGTCTGCAAAACTTCTAGAAGTGTGCAATCGACGCTCGAGCGTGACGCTCGAGCGGGGCGACGTTTATATCAGTCCGAAAAGTGACTTTTTGGATCACTTTTTCACCTCATTTTCTCTCTTATTGTGACATCCCTGTTCTGTATTATGCTAATCGGTCCTTAATTTAAATATGATTATGTGTTTGATATAATTTTGTGTGCCAATTATGTGAATATATGTGATCTTGAAGTTCTATCTGTTCACCGTAGGGATATCTGTTCGTTATGTTTAGGTCGTGTGCCTTTTTGTTTTTCCCCGCTGTGTTCAGTTGTAGGCTCGATACCCCGGTTTGAAAAACCCTTATTCAATGTCAAAAATCGTTTATACTCAGAATGCTGTGCCATTCTCTATATTTGAGCATGCTTCAACTCTAACCGGTTCCGTCTTTGAGCTTCGTCTTGTCAAGATTGGGTTGTTCACTCAGGATTTGCTGTGTGCAGAATGAACCGAATGCTGTGTTATGGGTTATATGCAGATTAATCCCCAACAGAGTAAGGGCCGTGTATCCAGAATTAGGCAGTGGGTTGCTTGGGTTATTTTGCTGTCGGCTGTTTAGTTATCTGATTATTACAGTGCAAGTGTTCAATTTTCAGACAACCAATCAATTTCATTTACATTGAAGTGTAACATGATGGGATGCGATGCAATACATGAGATATGTAAATGTAACACTTTTTACGCAAAAAAGTTTGTTCATTTCATAATCTTTTAAGTACAAAGTTTTGGAAATAAAAAAAATCTGCCTGCGGCAGTACAAGGTAATCTAACTACCAACAAAAAAGAAAAGTACAAGAAAGAAGAAAAATAACAAAATCTGTATTCGTGTCTAGCGACTCTGAGGGCTATCAGTCTGTCCTGGTCCTCTTCCTGGACGAAGGTCCAGGAGCATCATCAGCATCGTCGTCAGAGCCCGAGCTAGTGCCGCCTCCGGTCTCCTCCTCTGATGACCCCGCCTCCTCCTCCTCTGATGACCCCGCCTCTGACTCTGCCTCCGCCTCTGACTCGTTATCCTCATCATCGTCGTCGTCAGGGACGGGAGCCCGCGAACTACTCCCGGCATAAGTGCGCCCCGCCTTAGTGCGGGGGAATACTCGGCCCTCCTCATCTCTCCCTCGGGCAGGGACGGAAGGTCCAGCTGAAGCACCTCCTACCCCGGGAATCTGGAAGGGATGACAAAAGCTTGCTAGAGTTGAGCCAAAATCATGCTAGAATGATGGTCTAAAGCATGATGCATGTTAGGCTAGCATGCAAGATTGCACTACAAGTGTGTGAAGCATGCAAGAGGCTATCAAACCAACCTAAACCAGAGCTAAGGCATCCTAAAACAACACCAAAAACATGCTGAGATGGAGCCAAAATGGGCTAGCAAGACATGCTCAAACATTAGGCATACAAGGCTAGTATCCAAGATACAAGGAGAGGGGATGACCCCCTCCTATTTGGGACCTCAAAACACCCTTTCCACCACTGAAATTCCTCCGAGTTTCAGTGGTGAGAAGGCCAAAAGGAGGTGTTCCCAGTAGCTTAAAAGGATAACACAAAAGCAAGGCCAAACAAAGCACAAGAGGGGGTAGACCACCCCCAATATCAACAAGGCCTTAAACAAACATTTAGATCACTTGAAATCAAAACTTTTTGTAGTTAAAAGTTAGGCCTAAATTAGCATGAAAATAGGGCCAAAAGCTTAAACAAAAACCAAGGTTTAAGGGGTTAGAAACTCACCCTTGAAGAACAACTTCAAAGCTGCAACTCCGGCAACTTTTCTGAGCTCAAACCAATCCAAAAACACCAAAACCAGCTTCTAGGTGCCTCAATAACAAAAGGGTGGTGTTTCACTATATGTCTATGTGCAAAAGTAAGAAGAAAAGGGACTTTTAAGCACAAAACAAGAGGGAAGGAGAAAATATAGAGATAGGTGTGTATCTATAGCTCAATGCCAAAATTCTAAACCTGGAGAAGGGAGAGAGGGCCTCCCTTTTATAGAAAATCAAGAATTAAGCTTCTTGAACAAGCTAAGAGCTTGGACCAATCCATCCATACACGTGTATGGAGGATGAGTTCTGTGCCCCACAACTGGCACAGTTGGCATCCACAACACCTGTAGAAACTCTAGGAAAGCTGCCGACCAGTTGAAGTGGTCGGCCAGTTACTTTTACTGGTCAGCCAGCTACTTTTTCTGGTCGGCCAGGACAAAAAGTGGTCGGCAATGGGGAAAGGTGGTCTGCACAGAGATGTGAAGGTAGTGGCATGGTGGGAGACGACTTTTTCCAGCTGCAAACCACTTGTAGACCACCAAAAGTGGTTTATAGGGAAGAAAACTGGCTGGCAGGGAAGAAAAGTAGCTTTCAGGGAGAGAAACTGGTCTCTCACCCTTATTCCACCCTCCAAGCAAGGAAAACAAGGTTTGTGCCAAAAACAAACCAAAAAGGACGCAAGACAAGAGTCCGGGGGTCGAGGCGTGCAATCGGAAGCCTCGAAAACTAGTCTACGGGCACCAAAAGTGGTCTACGAAGGAAAAGTGGTCTCCAAGACCTCCATGTCCCTCTAGACCAAGACAACAAGGCATGGTTCGAAAACCTGGCCAAAAGGAGAACGTTAAGCGGTCTTGAGACAAGGCGCGCGACAGAAGGCTCCGGAAATCGAAAACTAGTCTCCAAGCGGGAAAAGTGGTCTATGACCACCAAAAGGTAGTCTACAAGGCTTGGTCCACAAACCGAGCCAAAACAAGAAAAGTTCAGAGGCCTGCAAGGCACTCAGCCGAAAACT